AGGGTTCACAATGAACTGAGCTACAGAAATGATTGGACAAAAATATTGAGCCGCTTGTCACAAACCACTTTTCCATTAGGTTTTTGTATTTGATCAACGGGGAGATTTCGCACGCAGTCCTTCAAAACCGAGAGCTGTTTGTGGCATTATACCACTGGCATGCAGCCTCGCTGTTCAATGCTGGTCATTTCACAGCGGGACTTCTTATTCACCATAGTGAAGATCAGCTCAATTGCTGCTTACCACATGTAGTCAGGGTGTTAGCTATTGCCGAATTCCCTTGAACAGACGACTTGTTGTATGCTCATGGGAGCAGAGCACTGTACCCCCTCACGGTTCGGTAAGGCAGAATCACTGGCTTGCGTACATCGCTCTATGGCAATAACTGTTATGCAGAGCCTTGCTCTTTCTTTTTGTTACATGGCGCCGTGGTCTCCGCTGGACATTTTCGGACTCATTCCAATCACAATTTTTGGGTGACTCAAAGCATGAAGACACTATTATCACCAGAAACTTCAAGTGGACAGCTGTCGTCACAAATCATATCTTTCATGCTACACCCGCCAAATTAATTTATGCTATTGTTATATTACAGACCTGGCCATAAGGTTGACACACTCCACTTTTTCCCGCGTATTTTGGTCAATACTTGGAGTTGGACGCCCAAACTTTATTGTGCGTTCCAACGAAATTGTCCAAAACGGGCTCTTATGCTCAGAGTAAAAAAGGCACTAAGGATAAGGGTTAGGTAAATGAGCTCGTATTATGAGGACAGTACCAACGAATAAGGAGCTATCTGATTAGTAGATCCAATCAGGATCGACATAGCTGGCCGTAGTCTACAGCCAACCACCCTCTCCATCCGAATGCGGTGAATTTCTTGGCCATTCGGAGACTGGCTGCGTTTTGCATGACTTACTCAGGCGACTTACGCAGGAGAGCAATTGTACTCGTTTATGTGTATGGCATGGATGCAACAATGGTTGGTACACTTTTTAGAAGCCACGAACGCACTATCCGTCGCTGGATTACAAGATTAGAGAAGGCAGGATCGCCGTGTGAAAAGAAACAACCTCGACAGCGTAGCAGCAATTGACTTCAAGAGGTCGTGGTGTTTGTGGAGAAATACGTAAAAGCATATCCCTGTTTTTACATTGAAGAGCTCCAATCTGAGCTACACCGCCGTTTTGGTCGCGTGAAAAATTCATCTGCGGCTTGAATATGCCGTGCTCTACGCTTTGACTTGGACCTTACCAGAAAAAACTAACTAAGCGTGCACGTGAGTCAGCTCCTCGTGAACGTCACGAGTACGTTAACCGACTGCTACCGTTTTACAGTGGCCCTGAGCAACTTGTCTTCGTGGACGAAACTTCAAAAGACGGGAGGTTT